TCTCGCTGTGTCTCTCTCTGCAAATAAATAAATAAAATCTTTAAAAAAAAAAAAGAAAAAAGAAAATCAGAAGGAAGAGAAAATATAATTTATAGTACAGTATTTATTGAAAAAAAAAAAATCTGCACATAAGTGGACTGGTGCAGGGGTGCCTGGCTGGCTCGGTCCGAAAAGCATGCGACTCTTGATCTCCAGGTCATGAGTTTGGGCCCCACGTTGGGTGTAGAGATTCCTTAAATAAATAAGCTTAAAAAAAATAAAGAAAGAAGTGAACCCGAGCCGTTCCAACTCATGTTGTTCAAGCATCCACTGTATACACCACAATGCTAATGGTAACTTTGGATAGCAGGATTTCAGGTAAATTTTTTATTTTGGCTTATTTGTTCTTGACATTAATTACTTAGGTAATAAGACAAAGGGAGCTGGCATGTGATATGAAGAATTTGGCCTTGCTGTTCCCTCCCCATACATTCTTCAATCTGATGCATAAATAATTGTAGAAAACAAGTGCCCCTAGGAGTAACAGCCTGTAGGGGGGCAAGGTAGCATACTCTGGGAGTTCAGCTGGAGGCGGAGGGCCTCATTCAGGTGGCCCCATGTCCGAGTAAACCCACACCCCCTGCCCTTCCCTAGTTCCTCAAAGTCCCACTTCACTGGAAATACTTTGCTGCAAACACCAGGGGCTGGTGGCATGAGCTAAAACCACTTTGGCTCCTCCTTGCTGGTTTTCAGTTTCTGGGTCCCAAAGCATGTATATTTCTGCTCACGGGATATCCATTCTCCCCCACTGCTAACATATTCTCAGATCTCTGTGCTTTCTTCAGGATGTTATGTTCTGATTCAGAAAAGGGGGATGTCATTAGCAGAGTCCTCAAGACCAGGAAGCACACCCCAGCTTGTTCACACGGACAGGGTCCGTATCCAATACCAACTCCCTGCCTCTGCTTCTGACCTCAAGCTGAAATGGAAATTTTCCGCCCCATCCTTTGACATCTCTGATCTCCCTCAGTCACTCCCCTGTCAGAGCCTGATGATCACGGATCACGAGGAAGTTTCTTCCAGTACAAATTTAAATCCTTCTCTTCTAATTCAGGCTCACTTCTTACCACCTCCTCAGACTTGGGGGGCACCTGCATTTCTTTTGCAGTACAGGATGCAGAGGTCTGATAGAGGGGTGCTGCCCGAGATGGCTGTGCTTGAAAAAATACAGTTCACTGGGTCCCTCCAGGGGATTCCGACGTCACTGGTCCACAGTATCTGAGAAGAACATCTCCAGTTGTGCCTGGTGGTACCTGACTGCTACCTCACTACATTCTCCCCTCCGTTTATCTGAGTCCCTGTGCCCACTCCCACTCTAGCCCCACCCAGCTGGCTTGGGCTGTGCTCACTTTGGCACAGGCCTACAGAGTTCCTTGGCTCCCTAAATCCCTGCCCCTCCATGGAGAGCAGCCAGACTAAGCCAAAACCACAGCCCCAGCCTTCCTGCTCACAACAGAGCCGTTGCTCCTCAGGGCCCACTCAGATGGTGCAGAGGGCCCAAGGCTGATGCAGCAGAGGGTAAAAACCACCACATGGCAATCACTGTGATTTATAAATGTGACTTACTCAGACCCATTCTGAGCCTTGCTTCTGACACTCAGGTCACTGTGCAGGTCCCTACTCCTCCTCCAGAAATGGAAGTAACTTCTGTATTTTAATGGTAATTCACTAGTCCCTCCCCACACGTTATTTCACTCAATTCTCACAACAATCCTGTGAGGCAGGCAAGACTGGTTTCATCCCCATTTTACTGAAGGGGAAGCTAAAGCCCAAAGAGATTATGTGACTTGCTCAAGACCATACACACCATTGATAGCAGTAGGATTTGACCCAGGTCTTCCAATTCCTGGTCAGAATGGGGTATATGATAATGGGGGAGCAGATAGGCTTGGGTTCAAATTCTGGCCACACCCCTTATTGGCTGCCTGATTTGGGCAAGTTGTTTAGCTCCTCGGAGACTCGGCCTCTGCATCTACAACATGAGAGTAATACCTCCCTTAGAGAGTTGCTGAGAATTAAATGAGATAGTGGACAGGGAATACAGAGCGGGCACCCATTTAATGCTAGTGCCCCCCCCGCCCCCTTCCCGCCCCCACATATCCTACCCAAGGCCTGTCAGAGCTTGGGATCTGTGAAAGCACCCTCACTCTTCTCCTGACTTCCAAGGCCCTCCCTTAGCATTCTGCAAACAGAGATACAGATATAAATAAGACAAGCTTTCTGCAGCCACCTTTTTCTCAAGCCCTGAACACATAGATCACTCTCCTGCGTTGGGCTTTCAGGAACCAGCCTCTTCCGCCATGGCCAGCCACCCTCAGCCACCAACAGCAAATCCAGTTTCAAACCAAGGCCACAACCAGAGGCCAGCTGGGCCAGGGCAGGCCCATCCCCCTCTCGATGCCAACTTCAGTAATTGGGGCTGGTTTACAGATGTTTTTCCTATCATTTCCATATCATTATTTTTTAAATTAAAAGCGCTCATTTACTTTCTTTCTAAGTGCTCTCAGGCCAATTTTCCCTCTACCGCTTGTATCTTATACCTGATATAACTGAGTTGGGTGGGAAACATCTCTAGGACGGCCCTCTTCGAGGGGTGAGCCCACTTCTTCTGATCCAATCTCAGCAAGAACCTGGGGCCATCAATCTTGAGAGGCCCAGGGTAGGGACTGGATTTCACTTCTGACTTCCAGCTTATAGAGGGAAGAAAAGGCTAAACTCACTTCTCCGTGTCTTGGGGATGCAGGAACTAAAGCAACTCATGAGATGGAAGGCTGACCAGCACAGAGAAGTTGGTCTGAAGCAGAGGCACAGGGTCCAGAGTTATAAACCACATAACACCCCTCCCCATGACCAGCTTCCCACCTACTTCTGTCTTAAAGCCAAGCTTTGGCTTCATTAAATTTTGTAAAATGCCATCTGATTAAATCTTGTTTTCAGTTAAGTAAAACAACTGTCACATCAGAGCTATTTTTTATTTAAGAAAACATACTTGTATAATAAAAACTTGTACTAAATCACCATTAATTTTTAAGCAGAGGTTATGGATAGGGCAAGATATTTTAATATCAAAAGAACACCTTGCAGAGGGCCCTCTACGCCCATCCTACAGGCTATGTTAGGAGCCTGCTAACACTCAGTAGTTCTGTCCTGGTCTGAAGAGTCATTCCCAGGCCCAAGCACCTCTCTTCATAGCAAGAGCCCTGAGTGAATGAAGAGGAAGAGTCATTTGCTGACCCTCGGGAGCTTTTGGAACAACCACACCAATACGATCACTTGCAGTTTAGCCAACTGCACCTGGGATCTTTTGGGATGTGAATTGAGTACCTTCAACCAATGGGAAAGAATAAACAGACTCAAACATTATAGATATGCCCCAGCAAGAGAAATTACTATGCCTAAGTTTGGGCACCCCCTTCATAAACATTCTCTCTGATGCCTCAGCATTTTGGATCTACTGTATTCCTCACGCCAAAAGAGAAAACAGAACAAAACAACAACAACAACCAAAAAACTCAGAAAGCTCTGACAGAACTGGAAAACATTTTAAGTCAGATGGTGCAAGAAGTCCTTTCTTTACCTTGAAAATGGTATTTTCCTCCTCTTGTTGGGGGCTATGCCGGGTAGCATGTTTCCAGGGAATCTGGAAGCGTTTGGAGTCCCTGTGTAGCCAGATGAGCCCGGGGTACAGGCCACTATCCACCTGGGCCACCAGCCAGGGCTTCAGCCGAACTCTGCGGGGGTGGAGGGCCATGATCTGTAAGGGGTTGCGGGGGGAGGGTAAAGAGTAGGGAGAGCAGGAGAATTAGGCCAGCCTCTGGGAACTTTTCCCAGCCACTGTTCCCGTATGATAGAGCTACAGTTTCATTAGATTACAGCAAAGAAACTAAATATGGGAATAAACTGTGCCAGGTGGGGAAGAAAGGAAAAGAGGTTAAAAGGTTCTTTTGATTCTTATTCCAAAGCCATTTATACTTCATGTTCTAGCCAAATCAGACTTATCATGTAAGTAGATCACATTTCTTCTATTTAAATCCTGAAGCAGAAAAATAAAAAAAAAGATGACATCATCCCTGCTGGAACACAGTCCTTCCTGAAGAATCAAGGGCTTTGAAAAAGAAGTGAAATTGCTCTTTTCAATCTCATCTCAGGAGACGGGAGGAAAAAAAGGTATGGAAAGAGCAAAGACAGGGGCAAGAATTTGAAGCACACTTTCTTTTTAGACAAGACAACTAAAGGTGATTGGGAATATTTTAGTTAAGAAATGGCACCATCGTGGTGAGAGAGAAGGCGGCAAGGGTGGGTCCTGGTTCCCAAGTCCACACTTACAGAGATGAGCAGGCAGCGTATCCACGGGGATCCCAAGAGCTGGGCCTCAAGTCAGCTCTCCTTGCTCTGGGCCAGCCAAAGACTCTGTACCAAGAAAAAGGGTCTTGAGTTGGTTATCCACAAGACAATCCAGTGGCTGGGAGAAGACTTGGGAACATGGGAGACAGAGGCTCTGAGGACCCTTCTTGCAAAGTCCAGGAACCCAAGAATAATCAAATGCTACGGCTCCTCACCCTAGACTGCTAAAAACAATCATAAGACAAGCTCTGCTCTGCTCAGATGGCCTCCTCCACCTGGGTCTGTTTATCTCCCCACAGGAGGCTAAAGTGAACTCATTAGTTGCAGGAGCTGGCCTGGGTAAAGTCTGCAATTGATTCTCATAAAAATACACGGGCAGAGCAGATAACATTCAGCAACAGCCAGCACTCAGAGCAGGAAACAAAGGCCTGCCCAGACTGGGTGCCTTTAGGAAAAACTGGCTACTAGAGAATTGTTTGCCTGGGATGTTGTGTTTAGATTTTTTTTTTAGTGTTCTCCTTTTACTTAGTTTTTACTTAAGGTGAGGCCTGCAAAATCGCATTCACTCAACAAATATGTGTTCATTGGCTACTGTGAGTCCAGCACTATGTGGGTGAGAAAGGGCATCGTTTTCATCAGCCTCCTTGAAGAAATCCCCACTGGAACTGCTCAAGCCCCACAATGGCCTGAGGAAAGGAAGATAAATAAGTCACCTTCATACCCAGGAAGGTCCCCACCTGGATCATAGTTCAGAAACCAAACCAGTTGAGTCAGCTGAAGGCTCCCACTCACAGGAGCTTAGTTGAGGGGGCGGCCCCTAACACCACTTCCTTCCCCAGCCAGACTCCCAACAAACAGGGAAAACCCAAACCCCACTAAGCTTCTGGCACTTTAAGAGCAAGGCAGGACCTGCTCTTACCTGAGCCTTCTGACCCAATTAACAAGTCCTGCAACTGAAACCTTCCCCCTGGGAGCACAGCTCACAGTGGGCAGGTGAGGGTGGCATGCAATATTCAACTGTACCCCCACCCCCCTGTTCTTGGCCTTGTTTAGGTTGTTTTGTAGGGCAGCAAGTCAAGCCATCAAACGGGGGGGGGGGGACATTTACCTTTTAAGGAGGAGAGAATGCATATTCTAAAGTTCTACCTTCTCCTCCTCAGTCCCAGCCTACTGGAAAGGGGATGACGGGAAGGACAATAGGGAAATGGGCAGCACATTGGTCAACCTTGTGAGGGACTTTTGAGAATTTCTATTGCAGTACCCATAAGTCCTGTGTCTACGCTTGTCAGACATGTGAAATCCAGTTCTTGACGGACCACAGACCTTGAAGAAAAGGGCTTATCCTAGTTGATCGACAGCTCATCAAGAAAAAATTAAAGCAACCAAGTCAACACAGAGAACTGCACATAGTGATAGGGAAGGAGAAGCAATCTCAGAGACTGATTGTTAAGATCTAGAGTCCTGGGTTCTCAGCATTCTCTCGAGATGGCACTATACATGAGCAAACCCCTCCCCACCCGCCTTCATGCCTCACTTGCATCGCTAACCCCCTCCACCTTCTGAATGCCAGCCAACATCCCCCCCACCTGCCACCCAGTAACTAGAGCTGTAAAAACCGGCAGAGAGGGAAAAGTTGGAAGCAACCAAAATAACCGAGGCAAATGGCTAATTACATATTCACAGGCTGCACTATTAAGCAACCATTAACAACGGGGTGTCTGAAGAATTTTTATTGGATTTGGGGAAATGTTTACAACATGAAGGGAGAAAATACACCATACAATATTGACTTACAGTAGTATCTCCATCCTGTAACATAACATGCACTTGCACATACATACATATAATTAAAAAAAGGAAAGGAAATAATATACCAGTGTAACAAGACATCCATAATCGTTACCTGGTAATAGGATTATGGGTGAATTTTATACTTGTCTATATACTTTTGTATATGATTCACATTTTCCTACAATGACATGTTTCAATTTATAATAAAATGAAAAAAAAAAAAAAACACAAAAAACCAGGGCGCCTGGGTGGCTCTGTCAGTTAAGCGTCTGCCTTCGCTCAGGTCATGATCTCAGGGTCCTGGGATCGAGCCCTGCATCGGGCCCCCTGCTCAGCAGGAAGCCTGCCTCTCCCTCTGCCTGCTTCTCCCCCTGCTTGTGCTGTCTCTCTCTCTCTGTCAAATAAATAAATAAATAAATCTTTTTAAAAAAATGAAAAAAAAACAAGTAGTATTTTTTTAACCACAGAAAGCTAAGGCCTTTCTTGGCCACTGGAAGGTATAAAAGATGATGCCCTTCAGCTGCTGAGACCATGATACCAACGATCCTTCATACCTACATAGGCTTTACAGTTTTTTACATGCACTTTTATTTAATGTGTTTGATTTCATCCTCATGATCTGGAAGTAGTACTATTATCATCCCCATTTTATAGCTGGGTTAACTGAGACACAGAAAAGTGCCTCATCTGGGGCCTGGACCCAACACTCCTGAGTGAGAGTATGCCATAGTACTGAATCCTGCCACGATACCCTGCCTTCCAAGTCCCTCCTTTTGTACACTAAGAGAGTAAACCAAAATACTGACAAGATCCCAGCAGCATGAAGGGCCAAGGAAGTGGTTAAGGAGGAGACTGGATGACACCCACCCCCAAACACACCTAACTCAGAGTTCTCTTTCAAAACACTCACATCACTCAAATCTCAATGCCCACAGAACCTCAGCCTAGCTGAACTCAACCCTGGTATCTCTAGCTGCCATCACAATGAAATTCAAAGCCTGTGTGTCCAACAGGTATTCACCCAGCCAAAAAACAAAGATGCTAACCCACTCCCCTCACACTGGGCATTGAGCCGGGATACTTTCAACCTCCCCAAGGCACTAACCATCCTCTCTCACACACCCATTCCAGGGAGCAGGTCCTCTATAAACACCCCCCTCTGCCACCTCTGCAGCCCCTGCCCAGCCTAGTTTCCAGGGGCACCACTACCTCAAAGCTGAGATTCGAGATTGGGCCGCCAATGGTTTGGCTCAGAGTAAAACACACTTGCCAGGTAGTCCCGCTTTTTCCCTTCCCCTGGAGCGAACTGAAGGCCATACTGCAAGTTCCCCAATCTTACGTCCATTTAGTTTAGCCCTGCTTAAGGGTAAACTCTATGCCTCTCACCATAATTCCCATGCCCTTCCTCCCTGCTGGATTGAAGTTGGGGGCTGGTGAGAGGGAGCTACAGGGTACTGGGTGCTGCTGCCATGCATTATGCACACCCTAAACTACTCTCCTAGGTCAGCACCAGCTTTCACCAACTCCTACTCAAGCACCTTCTCCCTCTCCCTTCCCTGGATTCCACTTTTGACATGCACTAGGAAAGCAGGGTTGGGACAGAGATGACCCTTTTTCTACAAAGCAGGCTCCCTGTAAAGAGTGGCACCCCGGGTCTCCTTTCCAGTCAGGCCTGGGACACTTTCCCCATTTTTCCACACCCACCCTCCATCCCCTTCAGGCGAAGTGGGCCTCACCCCCAGAGCAACCACACCCAGCGCCACCCTCCCCAACACCAAGCTTGGCTACTTGGAAATCCATGGGTGTCTCCCAGGCCCCAGGTAGGGGCCTGACTGCTAAACAAATTCAAGGAGAAAAAACAAACTGGCTAAAGCTCCTGACCGCCCCCATCCCCATTTCCCCAAACACCCACTAAGACCAAAGGCCTGCAGGCCTGGGAAATCCCCTCTTTGGGACACTGGGCCCACTGGTAAGACCGGAGGGGCGGAGGCGCCGTAGCTCTAGCCTATGGTGGGTGGGTAGGGGCCGAGAGCGGCACACTCCGGTAGGGCAGGGAGGGAAAGGGAGTAGAGAGAAGTGTGGGCTCGGGAGGGGCCCCGTGCTCCTGGGCTAGGACCGCCCAGAAGCTACCTAAAGCAGGGCGACAGGCACCCAGTCCCAGAAGGTCTCCCCAAACAAACAGATGTTCTCAAGCAAGGTTCCTAACCCCACAAACGCTGGGGCGGGTGGATCCCCCCGCCCCACCCCCTTCCAAAGCTAGCGTTCAAAAGTTAGCGTCCTCACCTTTTCTCAATCCGGCGACCAGAAGCGGACGTCCCTCCGAACCACGTCCCCAGTTAAGATCACCCGTCGCCACCGCTCTTCTTCACCGGTCGGGTAAGCAACACCTGGCTTTGCGCAGGTAGAGTCTTCGAGCTCCGCTCCCCGTCCCGCACCGGCCCTTACCTGCCCGACCCAGGTGCGCCGAACTCACGTCACCGCCTCGCCCTGGGACGCCGCAGCCCCCTCCGCCGTCCGGCCACGCCTCCCAGGTATGGCCACGCCCTCTCGCGTTCAGGATTGGCGGGTTGCGAGAAATAGGAGACTCTGTGTTCCTGGGCGGCCCAGCGCCGCCCAGCCCCTTCAAGCCACCTCACTCTCCTGCTTCTAACCCCGGCTGAGAAAATTCCCAGACTCGCGTCTGGGCCTTATGCCTCGGGGCTGGTGGTCTTGGAAAGCGGGAAGTCAGATCTAAAGTGGAGAGGGTGCCTCCCCTTTCCTCTTGTCTCATAGTTGCCCTGCGGTATGGAGACAGTTAACCACAAATAAGGGTTTAGAGATTCTGGGCTGGCCCCACTACCCGTGGGCCTGTTTAAGTGAGTGGAATATGGAAAAGGGAGTTAGGACACTTGGTCCCTTGGAGGGGGGAGCCCTATGGCTTCCAGGGCAGGAATTCTGCCTTTATTCTGCCCCTCACCCCCAGTGACTGTAAATTACTTGGCTTCTTGGTTTCACTTTTCTCGTCTATTCAAGAATATTTGCTGCCTTTTCCAGTCACTATCCGGTAATGATTAAAAGTATGGCCTCTGGAGCTATTAGGATTCAATTTTTTTTTTTTAAGATTTTATTTATTTGCGAGCGAGAGAATGAGAGACAGAGAGCATGAGAGGGAGGAGGGTCAGAGGGAGAAGCAGACTCCCTGCTGAGCAGGGA